TTTCTTGAACTGTCTAAAACGCATTGAGCCGTGATAATCCCATACATTCTTACCAATTTTCGTTTGYTTGTATTTCTGTTAAWAAGCATTATTTTGGCTCAAAATTTCGCAATAATACTTTAATTACTTTAAAATTTCGCAACAAGGGGCCGTTTGGCGTGCGCAGGCGCCAGTCTGTTGAAAATTCATTGAAATTCATTAGTGATTCACTGCAAGCGAGAAATTACAACGACACGAAGGACAATTTCAAAAAATGTTTTGGGCTGTTTTTGACCCTGAAATGTTCTGTAATGACTCAAGAACACTCATAAATAGTGTAACCTACAACGAGGAAAAACACTGGCGTTATTGGACTGATTGGGACCGTTTAAAATCTTATTCAAGAAATGTTGATATTAATGACTTTGTGTTTACAATATGGAGGCTGCAGTGGTTTATATACGCAACTACTATTCCAGTTTTTGCTGAAGTGCTAGTCAAAATTCAACGCACGTCATGAAGTAAATGGTAAATGTACACCTACTTGCGAAAACGTTGTCATAAAAAAATAGGACTTTTGTATTTAGTAAAAAGGAATAAATTAAAAAGACAAAGGATGATCACTGAGGCTGAACGCTTTCTTTTGTCTTGTTTTAATTTATTCCTTTTTACTAAATTCGAATGTTCTATTTTCTATGACTGACGTTTCTGCAAGTAGGTGTACACATGTAGTAATATAATTAGGCATCGCTTAGTAACATCGACCTCGAAATGTTCGAAAGACAGTTTCTTGAAGTGTACAATATTTACGCTTAAATATTATTAACTGTTACATGAAATACTACTTTTCTTTTATATACCACCAGGATTCATTAGAAAAAGGCTACCAATATCAAGACTTATGCTTTGHAAATGGTTTGATAATGTTTTCTTGTCTATGAAAAATGTGGAACGGTGTTAATTCTGCAAATTCTTACKTGCTGTTGAGCACTCACGACAGATTTAGCATTCTTTTGGCTGAAGAGTTGAGCTTGTTTGAATCAAGTTATCATAAATATCTATGTGTAGTTYTATAGCTGTATCATTATAAGTTATGAAATAAACTATTGCAGTGCAATCGATTCACATCTTATGAATTTATTATTGGTAAAGGTGTGCACAAATAATTCACTACATTTTAACGGTACAAAGTGGCTTCGTGTTATAAATCTAGCCCGAGACTCACAGTAATTTATATTATATATATTATATATATTACAGCCTTTTGCAAAAATTATGAGAATTGTCTAAATATCTAAATATCATAATATCCATATCCATATATTGTCCAGAACACGCGGGTTTGCTAGAATAATTCATTGTTGACATCGAGAAAATGTTCAGAACTATGGATAAGTCTGTCGCCAAAAAAAAAACTAAACTACAAAGACAAGGGACTAAGGGCATCGCGTGGGATTAACCATCATGCACTTGATATTATGCACTCGATTTAAGGAATAAAAGACGAAATTCCGTGTTTGATACTCTGATCAAAACACGCGGGATGTAGGGAGAGCACGAGAGAAGCGTAGGAAACCACGACGCGTAAGCGGAGTGGTTTCCAGCTTTTCGAGTGCTCTCCCTACATCCCAAGTGTTTTGATCAGAGTATCAAACACGGAATTTCGTCTTTTATTTCTTTTCTAAAATTAAAAGATTACGAAAATTGTAAAGAATTCTGACTTTTGATACGATATAAAACGATGAATTCTCCTTACATTGCAGTTGTCTGCAGCTTCTGCAGCTTCTAGACCTTCTAAAACGTTTGATAGCTCTTCTTCTGGGATATCATCCCAGAGGACATCATAAATAGGCATTTATTCGTTCATTGTTCTAGAAAATGAATGATAACAACAACAAATGCAAACGGCGGGAAAAAAGAAATTTTTGACGCGCGCGAGCGTGTTTTGATACTGTAATCAAACATGGTTTTCGACCAATCACAGCGCGCGTAGTATCCTAAATATTTTAGAAATTATGATATTTAGATATTTCAACAATTCTCATAATTTTTGCAAAAGGCTGTATATATATTATATATATTATAAATAGAATAAATGAAGAAAAAGCCACGCAACTTGTAACTAGGTTTTCTACTTTTTAATGAACGTTTCGGCACTTCGGCCTTCTTCAGCAAACTGAGTGTTTTGCACGCGCCATTGCTACAAAATGCGACTAACGGAAAACAACAAAACGCGCGCGCTCTACAGCGCGCGCAGCCAAAAAACACGCGCACTTTAGAGCTTGCACGTGGGCTAGGACCTAAATCTAACCTACAAAACCAAGGAAAGCAGTAGCTAATACAAAACACTCAGCTAGCCAAACCAGAAATTACATCAAACAAACCCAAGCCAGATAAACAACACCAAAGTAGGAAATTACTAAATCTAATACGAATAAATAATTAAAACAAATAAAGGAAGGACATGAAAGCTACTGCCCMTRMAARCAACCTTCAAAACTCCATCCACCTAACAATTATATTATATCAGCTGAAAGTACCACAGATACAAATAACACAACCTAACCGGGTATATATTATATATATTATAGTAAGTTTGAAAGATATTCGTGTGCATTGTAAATATATCTACTTGGTTTTGTTTGGAAAAATGTGGAAGATAAGTAAAAACATCAATTATGTTCAGAATCGAAGCTTCCGCAGCTACTACAATGTTATTCTACCCGGCGTATTCTAGAGCCCATGGTCGTTATAACGCAGCGGTTGCGCGCATGCTTATGCATAACGGCCTCTTGTTTATATTTCGCTAATTTGGCCTCTAAATAGCATTTTTAGAATATCACGTGAGTATGAGCTTGGGCTACCTGTGGACAATTTGTGACTGATAAGCGACAATGAAAAAAAATAAGAAAAATAAGAAGCCCGAAATTTAAACTCGCGGTTCCACAGGAACCCCGAGTAATAATATATTTGAACTACTTCTCATTTCACATCACTACTACCGTTTCTAATATCTCACAGTTAGGACTTTGCTACACATTCAATGCAAACGGTTCAAGTGAGATGCTGGTCGGCTCAGGTCAAAACCAAGGTTTCAAGCTTGAACTCGACGCTCAGCCAGAAGAGTATTATGGACCGTACAGCTACGAGGCAACGGGGTTTAAAGTAGCAATACACGAACCTGGGACATACCACGACATTGAAAATGAAGGTTATGACGTACCTCCTGGGTTTTAYACCAGYATTAGAATCAAACGAACCAAGGTGAGTCTTTGATGATTTGATACCAGGAAAAAATTGTAGTCACTGGCATAATCAAAAGATAAATAATGCGGCTGGACTAACATTTTCATGACCTTAGAATACAGAGTACCCACATTATAATGGACGAAACTTGACAAAAACGCTCTAGCACTTTTCTTTATGTTGCACCTTTATGTTTCTCATTACAGACAATTTCCCTGAAAGCACCCTACGAAACAAATTGTTCATCAGTAAARCTGCAAAACTTTGCCAAATACTCCCAGACAAGTTGCTATCACACCTGTRTATCAAAAAAATTAGCCGAAGAATGCAATTGTCGAGTGTTAAGCATGGTCGAGAAAGGTAAGATAGGAGAGCAAAAATAATTCATAATAGAATACAATATATAGAGGATGGGCGCTTGGAAATTTGCAAATTATGAAAGCAAATTAATATGTCTTAAAATACCTTTTTTCTTACTTCCACTATATAGAGAAACCTCGAATGTGTTAGTWTTCACTAGTGAAAATAACAGCTTTACGAATATCATAGAATATTTCATAGATAGTTATATGATAAAAGGGATCATTGTATCATGATTTGTCACTTTGTGAGGATATCGTGTACAGTGGAGTGGTCGATCGGTGTGGTCATTGCTAAGAGGTGGTAGTACTAACTCCCAACCTATCGTGTATACTATCAGCAGGT